AAAATATAAGTGGCATAAATACTTACTCTGCACTAGCCAATGTCTCAGCCTCCACTGAAGAAAGACAAATTGAGTGGGTAGTGGATGTCACTGAAAACATCAGGAATGTTTTTTTATGGGCAGTTTCCCCATAATGACAGGGTGGAACAGCAAAGTCAAGGACACATGCAAAATGTTCAATTATTATTATGAAAATCGAATACACATAGAGTCAAAATGACTCGTTTTATCAATATAACTCGTTGTGGGACAATAAAAACATATATATAAGTTTTTAAATTTAGTATAATTTAAACAACTTATTACACACACCTGCTAGTTACGCAGGGCAGTGTGTTTGGAGCATTGCCAAAATCATGTACCATTCCAATTTAAAATACGCGTATTAAAAGGGGAAGAAAACACATTTCAGAGACTTATCATTGTACTGAGTGATGTGTGTAAAATGTGTTTGCCATTTATATAAGACCTCAGAGTGTTCATTATTCTGCTAAATTTTCATGCATAACTGGAGTGATTCTGAATGGCGCGACACCAAAGTTACTTTTTATAGTGTATTGACCCGGCTCACTTCGTTATTACTTCTGCAAGAAGGACTGTTAATACGTAAACACAACAGTTAGTATTGCAAATTCGAACCTTCGCCCGTTTTGTTCTCGGAAATAAGTAAGGTTTTGATTTTTCAAGCGAGCAACACACGTGTTGCTAGCTTGTCTTCCCTCACTACCGACACCACGGTAGCGAGGAAGTTTTTTTCTTTTTCTCTCTCACACCAGAGGAGTAGAAGATAAAAAAGGTATTAACACACCAGTTAATATTCTTTGAGAATAAAATCTACACCGTCGCTTTTTCTCCGGATTAACGACAGGTTGTGATTCTCTTTTCTCAGCAACGCACCTGCTACGAGCGCGTCCTTCCCACGTCGCCATAATGGCGAACAAGATGGACACGTCTCTCCCTCACACCAGAGGAGCCAGGGAATCGGAGGCTCGGCTCTGCGGCTGCGGGTTGAAGATTTCGGACACAGACGCACACCAGGTCTGCTCGTCCTGCCTCGGGCTGCAACATGCCCAGGAGGCTATCGACAACCCCGGCTCATGCGGGCATTGTGCCCGTTTCACCGTGAAGAGCCTCCGCCGACGGTTAACTCGCCAAGCTAGCTTGTCGGGTCAGGACTCCCTCATGTCCTCTGATTTACCGGACGGAAATCAGGACACGGGGGCGTCCGCCACAGAGATGGAGCCCCGCACTGTGTCGGTCTGGGGCTCATCAGTAGTGGCAGCTGCAGAACCGGAGTCCCGCGCCGTGTCAGGCTGCGGTGGCAGCGAGGGACGTGCGAGCGGGGCCCCACGCTATACCAAGCTGGAGCCCCCGGCTGGACCTCACCATGGTCTTGCCTGCAGAAGATGTCCTGGAGTTGGACTATACGGAGGACGAAGAGGATGAAACCTCTGGATTCCTCCTGTCCGACTCTGATGAGCAGGAAGACAACTTCTTCATGTCATCGGCTCAGGCTGCAACGCCGGGAGCGATGGCTGCTCTCCCGGGCGATAGCACACCAGCTTCGCCCTGTCTGAGTATGGACCTGCAGGCCGTGTGTTCCCGTCAGCAAAAACACGTGGGTTTGCTATCCTGGCTCCAAAATGGTGGAATGAGCTCCCCATTGAAATCAGGACAGCAGAAAGCTTACACATCTTCCGGCGCAAACTGAAAACTCATCTCTTTAGACTCCACTTCGAGCGATTTAATTACTAACAAAGCACTTATATACTAATAAAGGGCTGGCTTTTCTAAAGCCAGTTGAGTAGCACTTGAAATGTTTGGCTCGCCGACATTTTCCGGTGGCCTCAATCCCATTTGGGTCCTCTCATGTCAGACACGACCCGTGTTCGAGTACGAGAAAAGACAAAAATAATAACTTTGGTCCAATCGGAAAAATGAAAATGACTGTAAACAGAACACCATTACATCGAGGACGAGGCTGACACGGCTCGCTCGGTCGGTCAGCGATCCCATCCAACGGTCCGCTTAATGCGGGGCAACGAGAGTGACCCCGGATAGCGCGCGAAGCTTGTGCTGCGATGTTTGTGAGAACCTTTTATTTGTGGGACTTCTATGAGAATAAGATTGTTGTGGACTTAACCGCTTGGGGTCTAAAAGGACACACCCATTATATACGCTATAAGCTTTATGCGTAGAAAAAAGTCACAGCTGACTACAATTGGCAGCCAAAACAGCGTGCTCTGCGTCGGTCTCTACAGGACTCCACTCGAAGACTTAACATAGAAAAATCTATGCGCAAAAGTCTTGGGAGTTTAGAATCATAACCCAGGCTTAAGGCCAAAAGGGAGGGGCAAAACCCTTGCTCGCTTATGAACCTTCTTCGGGCGAGACTGAGGCGAGCCACGGCCTAATACTATATCGGAAGAAAGATCTTCGCTCTCCTAGGAGAAAGATCTATACCACCCGATGAGGGGAGCCCGGACACTTCCAAATGTCTTGCGGGCTCTCTCGCTCCCCGCCACCTGTCGCTTAACCTCAGACATCGGGGCCAAGTCATTGACAGAACTTGTGGGTTCGTCTGCAACCACTCGTAGAAGGTGACAAAAGCGAGGAATCTCGGTCGCCTCTACAGTGCAGAAAAACGGGAGACCTCCAGAGATAAACAACACAATACCCCTGGAGATCACAGACTTGTGCCCGACCATGGGACTAAACTGTCAGGGGTGGCTGTGACGCGTACGCGCACTGCGCTCGCACGGAAGTGTTGGGTCGGCCGGTGAACGCGGACGGGTGCACTGCCACCATCGGAGTTAGTCGGGGTCAGCAGTGACGGGCGACGCGCCCAACCGGCCGCCCGACGGAAGTGCTCTGGGCGAAGTAACAGCGGAAAAACCCGTCTCTCCGGCATCCGACCGAGAGTTTTCCCTGTGTTTACCTGCCGCGACAAAAAACCAAATAACAAAAATAACAAAAAAGAAAGTAAAAACAAAAATACGACGCGGGGAGTCGGGACTCCCGGACCGTACCGCAAGTCGCCTTTTAAGAAAATAG